GTGCGCCTGCACCTTCCGCTTATATTTACGAGTATATCGAGGCGTCATTGCGCTCTTTTTTCTGTCCAAAGGCAAAAATAGTTGAGAGAATGGTCAATCCAGTCAACCAATACCAGAGATGAACTTCTAGACTGAAAAATGTCACATAAGTAGCAAATTTGTGGGATCAATTAATACCGTTAAAGCTCTTGACTCACTATTTGTATTAACTGCCTCGTTGGTCTAGTGGTTGTAGTAGTGCGACTGCTGATCTTGAGGTCCTAGGTTCGAATTCCAAATCGGGCCAAAAAATTAATGATTGAGTTTTCCGTCAAGAAATTCTCAGTAACTGCCCAAAGTTAGGAAGTTGGCGGTGTTTCACCCCCGTGCCTCGAAAAGCACGTAAAACCGTTGTTCCTGCGCCTGATCTCTCTTCGGTCGTGTCGGTTTTTCGTCCCATCGGATTATGAGAGTAAAGGAATAGAGAGTGCACCTGTGCTTGCGCATACACTTAGGCACTATAATACTGTCCTGCGCCCGTGGCTAGCCTCCGTTGAGGCTGGCCGCCGTGGCTGAAATTCGGTCTGGAAAACTTTATATTATTATTTGTATTAAGCATTTCAATATTCTTAATTTTTATTTGATCCTTACGGACTGCCAAAAATCCACTGCTGTACATAGAGCTCCTCCATGGATTGTGTCTTAGGAAGGATGTTTTCCGTAGTTGCCAAGCTTATCGGGCGCTTGTGAACCACAGCTATTTATTATTTGACGAAGATGCTACTGCTCATCTCCTGGTTTGTTTCCTCTGTCTATGTATGATGACGTTGACACCACCTATATCTTTTTTTTAAAGAATTTGGGTGACTAACGGGCACACGGTCTACTTGATGATAAGAGGATGCTGTGGCCCACAGACATCTACATTTAGCCTCGATGAAGCATCAAAATGCAGATTCGTCGTCACCCCTGAGTACTAAGATGGAATGCCTCGTTTCCAGTAAAATGGATTTCCGGTTCTCTACACTCACCATACGTAACACAGCAGTATTATTGTACGCTGGTATTCTGTGAGAACGTGTTCCTTCCCCGGTTGAACTGACCCATTCGTGCTAAAACCATAATATAGCTTGGCTGTACCACGTATAAAATCTGTTTAAGATGAAGTATGTAATGACAAAAATGAAATGTCTTATCAGTACGTAGTGTTTGGTTCTATTCATTTACGTTATGAAACACGGCAGCGTTATGCTGCAATAGACACGTGACATACTTTACGTGATCTCCAAAGAGGTACTGGTTGACGTATTTTTACCGTGTAGTGACAGTGTAGGAATATCAACTACTCCGTATCGCCCCGTGGGCGTCGTGGAAGTGACAGAAGGAAATTAAAACAGGAAGTGGGCAGGAGCATCTTCCTAATAACAACTCTAAAATAATAAAAAGACTGCGGTGGTCAAAACGCCATCCGAGCGTGGTAACTATGGCAAAATCCTACCTATGAGGCAAGATTTTCAGCAGTTATTATTTAAAAGATAGGACGGATGGTGTGTTTTAAGTTATTTTTTAAGCTGAAGTGACACGCGGTCTGATAGTCCACTTGATGGTTCCTGGCGGCTGCAGCCCATGGAGACTTTATTTATACAGATTAATGGTAACAACCGAGCGTACATGTATTAAATTCACAACACCAAATGTTAAACAGATGGATTCCAATGGGAATTACAGTTGACGCGAAACTAAAATGGGGCTTCCATATACCTAAAATTGGTAGCAAACTAAAATTATGCAACATATACTATAAAAATATTAGAGGGCATACATGTGTTGAGACAGCTAGATTAACATAACATAACATAAACACTCACGCCTGTCACCCAGAGGGGTAGGCAGAGACTACAGACTTCCATTTGGCACGATCCTGACACACCTCTCTTGCCTCCTTCACATCCATACATCTACGCATACATGCTCGTCGGTTAAGGGTACTCCTAATTTGGCCCGTTTTCAATAAATCGCCAATTTGGTCGATAAATTTTCGCCTAAGACGTCCCTTTCCGACTCTGCCATTCACTTCTGTACCATAAATTTTCTTTGTCACTCTCTCCTCATTAATTCTTTCCACATGACCAAACCACCGAAGCCTTCCTTTCTTAATCCTGGTCACAACATCATCTTGCAAACCACACTCTTCTCTTATTACACAATTTCTTACCCTGTCATTCAGATTCAACCCTAACATACTCCTTAACGACCGCATTTCTACTGCGTTTATTCTACTCTCGTGCTTCTTCTGCCACACCCAACTTTCACTACCTACGTTAAAGTAGGGACCAACACAGCATTGTGAATTGCCATACGTGCCTTTTTCGATGCATTTTGACTCTTCATAATAGAGTGCAAGGCCCCATTTACTCTATTTCCCACATTCACTCGTCGTTCTATATCCTTATCATATCTCCCATCCCTGCTAAATACGCAGCCCAAATATACAAACTCATCTACTTGCTAGATTAGTTTACTTTAATTATAATCCTAGCTAATTCCCGCTGGGTTTCTTGCTGGTTCTTCGCAGGACAGAGGTTTTTTTCCGAACCAGTGTTAAAAAAGTGACTTTCAATAAGTATTATTTATAATCTATATTGAATAAAAAAAAATCTGTTTCTGCTAGCATAACATTGTAACTATCTTTGTTTTGCAGAAGAGAGTTATAAGAGAAATGTATAACATAGGCTTTTACTTAACTTATCAATCAAAAAGTTTAAAATTGTTTAAGTGTTATTAACTATTATACGTGGTAGAGCCACCTGCAACTATATTATGGTTGTAGCACAAATGGGTCGACTCGACCGGGGAAGGACTACGCTCTCATAAAATACCAGCGTAAAATAGCAGCTTAAAACTGTTTCATATGGTGAGTGTAGAGATCTCGAGACCTTTTTTTTACTGGAAACGAGACATTCCATCTTAGTTCTCAGGGGTGACAACGCATCTGTGTTTTGATTCTTAGTCGAGGATAAATGAATATGTCTATGGGCCACAGCGTCCACTTATCATCAGGTGGACTATGTGCTCGTTTGTCACCCTATTTCTACAAAAAAAAAAACATTATACGTATCCTTTTTTAATAGAAGTGCGGGCAAAGGCATGTGGCTCGCTTGGTGGAAAGTGTCGAGCAACGCCCACGTACAACTGCAACACCAGGAGAATCGCAGATGCTTTGTCGCGTTTTAAAAGGAATACGCTCGTTTCTTGAAGGTCCCTAAGTCGTACCGGTTAGGAAAATCGCCGGTGATAAACGATTCCACACAGAAGTCGTGCGAGGAAGAAAACTCTTAGTAAATCGCTTAGTTGTCAACCGCTGAGCATCCAGATGGTGTGGATGTATACATCTTGGTTTATTTTTTAATTTTAAATACATATTGTAACGTATACAGGTGTACGTAATAACTGACTACCAATAAACCTTAGGGTGATGCAGAGATAGAATGAAAGATTTGTAAAAGATCATTTGGGAATACAAAAAATTGAATATAAATAAAACCTTTCTGAAACAAAATGATTAAATAATAATAAATAGTAGTGTTTTAGATGTATGATCTTCAAAGCCCCAGGGTTCACCGCACGCAGACGTGGTTGAATATTTTAAAATATAAAATCTATTTATGTATATATATTTCCACTGACAATCATCAAGATAGCCAGTATGGCTAAAAGCTATGAGCAGTTCATCTTAGTCCTCAGACACCTTATTAGATGCATAGTCATTTACCATGAGGGGAGCTATAAGACCCTTTATCACTTCGATTCTATAAAATAAAAAAATAAGTTTTAAAGTAAACAGAATGCATTTACGAAGTGATGTCCAGCAAAAAACATGTTTCGCTGGGAATTAATCGTACCGTAGCATATTATTGGATATGTTATTATTATTAATGACAGTGACATCAAACAATAACAGACGTACTGCTTATCCAACAAGAAGGTGACAGCTTCTCACTCACCACCGTAGCGTGCTGAGTATGGCTTACTTATATATTTATTCTATAATAAAGACAGCTGAAAATAGAGGGTACATAAGGCCAACTAACTTTCATAAAATTTACGTGACCAGAACAGTTGAAGTACCTAGATGGACTCTTACACAGAAAAGAAGTCCTAACGTCTAGTAAGTTGTGCTATTTTCTGCCAGTCAATCTAGAAGACAAATGACAGATGAAAATGTATAGTAGATAAAGATAATAATTAATCTAATATATTATCTACTATTTAACTATAACTATAACATCAAATTGATACTTTCACTCTTTTAAAGAAGTTGGCCTATAAGAACGATTATTTGTCAATATGAAGTTGACTCTCACAAATACATACACACTACACTATTGAATGTTTACACTAATTTAATTTAAATGAATTTTAAGATTTTAAATAAATTAAGCTTAGCACTATCTTCTTTTTATGTATGTAATAAGTAAGTACTTAGTAAGTAGTAAGTATGTAATAAGTAAGTACTTAAATAACGATTATGTTAAGAGATTTCTAATAAAAAAGAATATTCTTATCAAATGGAGAAACTTTTATCAATTTTAATTTTCGTGTAAGGTTTTTAAATTTGTTATTTTTGTAGTTTGAATTAAATTTTTCATTTTACCTATTCCTAACATTGTAGTCTGGACAGTAAGTATTACAAAGCAGTTATTACAGTTGATCTATATTTCCTCCACTTTTGAACATAAAGTAACTAAACAGTTTTCATACGTATACGTGTTAGTTCATAGCAAAAAGTACCGGTTAACCGCTCTATACAAGTCCATGGCTAAAGCAACAACTTTTCGCCTGAAATAGTTTATAGCGGCCCGTTCAAATAGTTAAAGCATTAAAAGATATGAAAGGGGGTTTCATGTATGGGATAGAGGCTGCACTAGAACCTACAAGTAAGTCCAAAAACCCTAAGAGTGTAGAATAGTGTTGGGCGGGCGGGCAGCGAGCTGAGCGGGCGGGGCCGTGCCGCGCCTTGTATGGAGCGTGGCGCTCGCGGCCGCCGCGAGTATATAAGCGTTCGGCGCCGCTCTCCGCCGCACTCGCAGTCTCGCTGCCGTAGAGTCAACTTCCAGCGCGTCCCGACACAAACACAAACCGCAAAAATGTGCGACGACGATGTTGCTGCGCTCGTAGTGGACAATGGCTCCGGTATGTGCAAGGCCGGCTTCGCCGGTGACGACGCTCCCCGCGCCGTGTTCCCATCCATCGTCGGTCGCCCACGTCACCAGGGAGTGATGGTCGGTATGGGCCAGAAAGACTCCTACGTAGGTGACGAGGCCCAGAGCAAGAGAGGTATCCTCACCCTGAAGTACCCCATCGAGCATGGCATCATCACCAACTGGGATGACATGGAGAAGATCTGGCACCACACCTTCTACAATGAGCTGCGCGTCGCCCCCGAAGAGCACCCCGTTCTGCTCACTGAGGCCCCCCTGAACCCCAAGGCTAACAGGGAAAAGATGACCCAGATCATGTTTGAGACCTTCAACTCACCCGCCATGTACGTCGCTATCCAGGCTGTACTCTCCCTGTACGCCTCTGGTCGTACCACCGGTATCGTTCTTGACTCCGGTGATGGTGTCTCCCACACTGTCCCCATCTACGAAGGTTACGCCCTTCCCCACGCCATCCTCCGTCTGGACCTGGCTGGTCGTGACTTGACCGACTACCTCATGAAGATCCTCACTGAGAGGGGCTACTCATTCACCACCACCGCTGAGAGGGAAATCGTACGTGACATCAAGGAGAAGCTCTGCTATGTCGCCCTGGACTTCGAACAGGAAATGGCCACCGCCGCTGCCTCCACCTCCCTCGAGAAGTCGTACGAACTTCCCGACGGTCAGGTCATCACCATCGGTAACGAGAGGTTCCGTTGCCCTGAAGCCCTCTTCCAGCCTTCCTTCTTGGGTATGGAATCTTGCGGTATCCACGAGACCGTGTACAACTCCATCATGAAGTGCGATGTTGACATCCGTAAGGACCTGTACGCCAACACTGTTATGTCTGGTGGTACCACCATGTACCCCGGTATCGCCGACAGGATGCAGAAGGAAATCACCGCCCTCGCTCCCTCAACCATCAAGATCAAGATCATCGCTCCCCCCGAGAGGAAGTACTCCGTATGGATCGGTGGTTCCATCCTTGCTTCCCTGTCCACCTTCCAACAGATGTGGATCTCCAAGGAAGAGTACGACGAGTCCGGCCCTGGCATCGTCCACCGCAAGTGCTTCTAAGCATCTCGTTGACCCTTGCGCGGCCCTGGGGCCAGCCCCCGCCGCGTGAGCGAGTGCTGTGTGTTGTGGTGCTCTCTGTTCCAGTTTGGAACTCAAGCATTTTGTACGTTGTACGTAGTGATACCTGACAGAACTGAACATCTAAATATAACGCCATCTATTATAATGTAATTTATTGTAAAATTTATATAAATTTAATTTTCTTTTTTTAATTTTTATTATACATGGGATCGTTATGGATCTCAAGCCAAAATGTAATTAATAAATAAACGGTTAATTTATTTATTTTAATTACATAATTTCTTTTTATACAGTCGTTGACTATGGTTTTTGATTGATACAATAATTTCCGCTACCCTATCTCCTTCTTACACTATACTTTTTCGTTCAAACGTTACATTAAATTTAGGAACACAATTGTCAAATTAATGCCTGACTAAAAGTGGGTCAGCTTTGACAAACAATAAATTAAAAACACTGTTACGTCAAAATCTGCATTCATTTCGAACCAAGAATGTTTCCCTAGGCAGTAAGCTAGAACGAAATTAGAACAAGCAGTTCCCCACACGAGACAAAATTAGCCACAGTATGCACTACCATAAATAGTAAAGACAGCTCCCGCGTCTCAAAACATTTTCTAATTTTATCGGAATACTCTACGGCGCAAGTTGCCAAGCGAATGTGACCCAAGAGTATTTTTAATAAGCGATAGTTTAGAATAAACGCAGTGTTTCCGTAAATATCAAGCGGCACCGATTGAGTCGATGGTTAAATCCTGCTATTAATACACTGAACTCCCGGAGCGATGCTGAATACAGACGTGGCGTGGGACATGGTATTAGCGTGATACGATTTCTTTCCACTCACCTTGCAACAAGTGAATATTTGGCAATGCGGAGTGGTGTCAGTACCTTAACAAGTCACAAATATTTGTAATTCAGTGGGCAAACATCATCTGACATAATATTGGACACGTCCTTAAATAATTATTTGCTTTCCCTTTCAAAGTGTGGTCGAGTACGATAGTGAATGTAATGAAGGATTTTATTTTTAACTTTGCATATGGTTAGTTGGAAGCTTGAATTTCATCGGTCAGTGTTGGCGCGCTGTGCTATTTTGGAAGTTGAAAAGAGATCGCGCATCGCGGCGCTTGTCGTAGAGAACATCTTTATGCTTCGTACATGTTTGGATATTTCTAATATGAAATAGCACTTAAGTGTTTTTAAAGTTATTTCTAAAATATGAACGCAATCCATATTGACGTTTCAAATAAAATATCATGTCAATCGTGTATTTTGAACGCCTTAATTTTTTTAATAGTCATGCCATGTGTAACCCTGAAGCGTATTAATGAGATATACTATTGCTATTAAAAGATAATGTATAGTGTGTATATATACACAACACGTGTTGCTTAGCTCAATCAACGTTATCAAATCCTAAAATTGTACCAAATTAAACGACCGATTACTTATTGTAAAATTTTGGAGAATGGTTTCTTTCCATTTAATTAATATTTTTAATTGAGTTCCAATACGTACGCCTTTTAGATAAATACGTTTAAATTTACACTATTTTCCCTAGTTTTTTTAATTCATCACAAAGTTGTAATAAATTAGCCAACAGACTCTTGATGATGAATGGCCATTTTCACGCCCAACTGCCTTCAAATAAAGAAGGATATAGGTGTATTGTTAATTTTGAGGACAACGTTGGCACCTTAAAAGTAACGGCTCATTATCTGCATCTTAATTCATGTGTAAAGACCTTTCATACCGTTCAAACCAGTATAAAACATTGGATACCCTGCTACTTATTGGCAAAATAAGTAAAGCAGAAGCCCAAGTCGCCTTAAATAACATTGGTTTGTATAAATATAATGCACCATGAATTATCATTCAGTTCATTTTCAAAAAACATATTATTGCTTTAAAGATAAATAAAATAAGTTTTAAATGTAATTTTCAGTTTGCATGAGATAACATCTGCATCTAAAAATATTACGAGTTCCCTTATAATTTGGCCGTTGCCTCTTCTAAATAACAATAACTATTATTCATCACCTTGTTACGCGACTTCAACGCCTCGCCGTACCCGTATAGAGTAATGACAATCAGCTGAGCAGTGGGGTGCCTCAAGGTACCTACTCTTGGCACCCGTGTTTCTATTAAAGTATCCATATTCAAAACTGTGTACGGTCGAGAACTATTGCTATTATTGTCATAGTTGATTATTTTTTAATGTGCTTGCATACGTCACTCTGACAAATGGGTCACATCTGTGCTCTACTAATTTTGAGAGACAGATTAGTCATACACTAATTTTGTTGAGACTTTTGATGAACATTAGTTGAAGAGACATGGATTGTAGTATAGCAATAGTATTATTCAACGTATCGTACCGTGTAGTGGTGGCGTAAGTCTATACTACTATATAAGTAATACCTACCACATATTTATCATCCCGTGGGTGATGTAAGAGCCGGCAGGAGGAAAAAAGTAGGAGATGGGCAGCAGCGTCTTTACAATAACAACTAAAAATAAATTCTCCGGTTAGTGACCCATCTCCAGTTTCAGTTCTCTTTTACATGATTTCTTCTACGCCGTCACGAAGCGGCTTCATGATAACAACTTAAAATATATAAAACTGCGATTTCTAACCCGTCTGCCAAGCGTGGGTACCAGGCAAATTCTCCTATAAGGCAATCTATGGGCGAGGCCTATGTTCGGCAGTGAACTTTTGATAGGCTGTTGAATAGCATTATATTATATATTTTATTTTACAACGGAATGGTAAAAATACTTTGTCCAATGAGTTCTCGGGCCTGGGATGTGATTTCTTCAAATTTTCAGCTTTAAAGTCTTAACAATAACAACGGATTAATGTATCTGTTTAAACAAACCATGTCATAATAATAAATTTAATTATAATTTATTTAAAATGTATATTACTATTGCACTGCTGGCCGTATGAGGACGCTCAAGGTCGTTCAGCGAGCTGTGGAGAGGGCTATGCACGGGGTTTCTCTATGTGATAAACTTAGAAATTTCATTTCTATATCAGTAGAATCAGAGTGACCGACATAGCCCAACGGATTAGTAAGCCGAAGTGGCAATGGGCCGGCCATATAGTTCGAAGAACCGGCAACTGATGGGAAAACAGGTTCTCGAGTGGCAGCCTCGTATTGGCAGTTGTAGTGTAGGGCGATCCCTCACCAAATGGAGTGACAGCCTGGTAAGATATACAGAAAGTCGATAGATGCAGGTGGCTCAGGACCGTGGTTATGGCCTTACTTGGGGGAGGCCTATGTTCGGCGGTGGACTTGTGAAGGGCTGTAATTAATGTGTATATTAGACTTCCCCCTCTTCATCATCATCATCATCATCATTACAGTCCTTCACAAGTCCACTGCTGAATATAGGCCTCCCCCAAGTAACGCCACAAAGCACGGTCCTGAGCCACCTGCATCGACTTCCTGCATGTCTTACCAGGTCGTCACTCCATCTAGTGGGGGGTCGCCCTACACTACGCCTACCGGTACAAGGCTGCCACTCGAGAACCTTTCTTCCTCATCGGTTATCGGTTCTTCGAGCTATATGGCCGGCCCATTGCCACTTCAGCTTGCTAATCCGTTGGGCTATGTCGGTCACTCTGGTTTTACTGCGGATATCCTCATTTCTGAGTCTATCACGCAGTGAAACTCCGAGCATAGCCCTCTCCATAGCTCGCTGAGCGACCTTGAGCGTCCTCATACGGCCAGCGGTGAAGGACCACGTCTCAGATCCCCCTCTTAGATTTTCTTTTTTATACTTATCATAAGCCAGTGCTTGATACAATCCCACACGCAGTCTCAGCGTAACGAAAGCCTATTCACTCTTGCCTTGATTGTATTCGGACTTATGTATACTTTCTGTGAACAAATATTAACGCGTTATAAAAAGATGAAGACGTATGATAGGTTATATTACGGTTTCAATAAATCGTTCCGTGAGTGTCATAAGAGACGACTATGGGAATTGACAGATAAATCTTATGATTTTTTATACAATAAGGTTGGCGAGCGAGCACACAGCCCAAATAATGATAAGTGAACGCTGTGATCCATAGACTTTTACATGTATCCTGGTATAGAAATCAAAGTTTGGATGCTTTATCACCCCTGAGGACTAAAATGAATGCGTAATACGTATCCAGTGAAAAGGGCCTCCGGCTCTCTTCACTCATCATACGAAACACAGCACCATTAAGATAGTATTTTATGTTGGTATTCTGTGAGAGCGTGGTCCTTCCCCGATCGAGCCGACCCACTCGTGCTACAACTATACTACTAATATAACTGCAGCATGGCTCTACCAGGTAAAAATGAGGCTCATTATCTCCACGCATAGTTCTTTTAACTTAATAATATTATTTTCAGCAAATTATAATTATAATATCCTATTTTCATAAGAATGCTTTATAATTATAATATCCTATTTTCATTAGAATGCTTTATAATTATAATACGAGTATCCTATTTTCATAAGAATGCTTTTTACGCCAGTTTACAAAGTCTGTACTTTGATACAAGTTCTGATTACTTAATGAACATCACTAATTTTTTCAAAGGTATTAAAATAGGTTCTGATATAATATTATGTGATTAATTTATTTAAAAATGTCTCTGAGTGATACCTTGCATTAACATTGTAAACAGCAAGAATAACTCTTCTGTGATATAAATATTTATTAAAAATTTTAAAACTAAAATAATAATAATTTTAAAAACTAAATGTTTAGTTAAGTACATATGTATGCCCGCACTCGCCATGCGAATGCCGTACATTTTACAGTACATCAATCATTCACTGAACGATGCGCGTATTTTATAATTTCAATAAACGTGAAACCAAAAAAATGGAGTAAGCCACGTAAAACTAGTTTGCAATCATAATTATAAATTTCCTAAGACAAAAAGCCCAAAAAAAAAAGTTTTCCGTTAAAGTAGTTCTAGCGTAACC